ATATATTTTTATTTATGTATTTATTTCGGTGAGTGTTTTGGTGAATGTGTTTTTACCTTTGTGTGCTTACGGATTTTCTTTTTATTTATTTATTTATTTTATTTATGTTGGGTAAATCATTTTGATGGCTTATTATACAGTGTCAGTGAACATAATCAACGAAGGGGAAAACGATTGAACAGTGAAATAGAAGTCTTAGAAATCATGAACGAAATGTTGTAATTATCTGTTACAGTAGATTATGAAAGATTATTGTTGATTATTATGATGTAGACACCAAAATCTTTCTCTCCCTCTGATCCTTTGACTGTAACACTACACTCAAATAAATAAAAAAAAACGTGGAAACTACCACTTTTTTTGGTTGTGTTTCATTTTTTGTGTCCTTTTATTATCAACTCGGACATTACGTTGTTAGAATCTGAGGAATAAACTAAAAGCAAAAAAAATGTATACTTAGTACTTATACTCACCGGCCACTTTATTAGGTATACCTGTCCAACTGCTTGTTAACACAAATTTCTAATCAGGCAATCAGCAGCAATGTCATGGTCAAGAAGATCTGCTGCAGTTCAAACCGAGCATCAGAATGGGGGGAAAGGCGATTTAAGTGCCTTTGAACATGGCGTGGTTGTTGGTGCCAGACGGTCTGGTCTGTGTATTTCAGAAACTGCTGATCTACTGGGATTTTCACGCACAACCATCTCTATTGTTTACATAGAATGATCTGAAAAATAGAAAATATCCAGTGAGTAGCAGTTCTGTGGGCGCAAATGCCTTGTTGATGTCAGAGGTCAGAGGAGAATGGCCAGACTGGTTTGAGCTGATAGTAAGGCAACAGTAACTCAAATAACCACTCGTTACAACTGAGGTATTGCAGAAGAGCATCTCCGAATGCACAACATGTCCAACCTTGAGGCGGATGGGCTACAGCAGCAGAAGATCACACCAGGTCCCATTAGCACCAATTGAGCATCATGTCAATGCCACAGCCTACCTGAGTATTGTTGCTGACCACAGTGTCTTCATCTTCTGATGGTTACTCCCAGCAGGAGAACACTCCATGTCATAAAGCGAGAATCATCTCAGACTGGTTTCTTGATTTCACTGTACTCAAATGGCCTCCACAGTTACCAGATCTCAATCCAATAGAGCACGATATGGGGGAACAGGAGATTCACATCATGGATGAGCAGCCGTAATAATGAGCTTTGGTAGGCGCCAGTAAGGATCAAGTCTATTCTTACATTTAATTGCAGTTTAAGCAAACAGCATTATTCATTGCTAAGGTGTCACAAAGATCAACTCTGCTCTTAAACTTCTAATAATGGGATGTTACTGATATTTGCACTTTTTGTAAACATGATTGTGAAGACATTTGTCATTTGTTTTTTTTCATGCAAAAAATCATCTTGCTTTTCCAAGCGGGGCAACACGGGAGCACAGTGGTTAGCACTGTCGCCTCACAGCAAGAAGGTCGCTGGTTCGACTCCCGGCTGGGTCAGTTGGCATTTCTGTGTGGAGTTTGCGTGTTCTCCTCCTGTTTGTGTTGGTTTCCTCCGGGTGCTCCGGTTTCCCCCACAGTCTATAGACATACAGTTGAATTGAATGAATTAAATTGACCGTAGTGTATGTGTGTAAATCTGAGTGTATGGGTGTTTCCCAGTACTGGGTTGCAGCTTTAAGGGCTGTGGTGACCCTAGATTAAGAAAGAGACAAAGCTGAAGGAAAATAAAAGAATGAATGAATGAAATGTGATACTTGAAAAAAATATGACAAGGTCTTTCATGCTACGTGAATTTTATTTATTTGATGTTTTAACTGTGTTATTGTTTATTGCATTATTATTATGATTATTATTTATTTTATGTATTTACATTTTTGGTTTTGCTCTTCTTTCCTGTTTATCCAATGTGTATATTGTGTAAAAGAGCTGTTTTCTTTTACTGTATACTTCATTCATTCATTCATTCATTCATTTTCCTTCGGCTTAGTCTCTTCATTCATCAGGGGTTGCCACAGCGGAATGAACCTCCAGCATTTGTTTTACACAGCGGATGCCCTTCCAGCTGCAACCCAGTACTGTGAAACACCCATGCACACTCATTTACACAACTCATACACCACTGCCAATTTAGCTCAATTAATTCACCTGTAGCGCATGTCTTTGGACTGTGAGGGGCTCCCTGAGGTAACCCACGCCAACACAGTGTGCACATGCTAACTCCACAGAGAAATGCCAACTGGCTCAGCCAGGACTCGAACCAGCGACCTTCTTGCTGTGAGGCGACACAGTGCTAACCACTGGGTCATAATGCCACCCTTTATTCTTTATTTAAAAAATAAACTTCTAATCTATTGCAGTTTCTCATGTCGGCCAGGAGAGGGCAGAACTATTTTGAAAACAGCTTTTTACAGTCTACAGAAAAACATTCACAAATTCAGACACTTTTCAGTGCGGAAAGTTTTCTCTTTGCTATGTGTGTAAGAGTGTGTGTGTCTCTCTCTCTGGTTTGTGTTTGTGTGTGTCTGTCTCTCTGTAGTGTGTGTGTGTGTGTGTGTGTCTCTCTCTCTGGTTTGTGTTTGTTTGAGTGTGTGTGTGTGCGCCTGTATCTCTGGTTTGTGTGTGTTTGTGTCTGTCTCTCTCTCTCTCTGTTGTGTGTGTGACTGTGTGCATGTCTGTCTGTCCTGTGTGTGTGTGTCTGTGTGTGCCTGTCGTCATCGTATGTTTCTGTCTGTCTGTGTGTGTGTGTGTGTGTGTGTGTGTGTGTGTGTGTGTGTGTGTGTGTGTCTGTCTCTGGTTTGTGTTTGTCTGTGTGTGTCTGTCTCTCTGTAGTGTGTGTGTGCATGTGCGTGTCTGTGTGTCTATCTTGCTGGTTTGTGTTTGTCTGTGTGTGTGTCTGTCTCTGTAGCATGTGTGTGTGTCTCAGTTGTGTGTGCGCGTCTCTCTCTCTCTGTCCTGTGTTTGTGTGTGTGTGTCTGTGTGTGTGCCTGTCTTTACCGTATTTTTTGTCTGTCTGTGTGTCTATTTCTCCGTTATGTGTGTGTGTGAGTGTGTGTGTGTGTGTGTGTGTGTGTGTGTGTCTGTCTCGTGTATGTGTATGTGTGTGTCTGTGTTTTTCTGGTCTAGTGTGTCTGTTTGTTTGTTTGTCATCTGCCTTTCTGTCTACTGTTACTCTCTCTCCTTGTCTGTGTGTGTGTTTGTGTGTGTGTGTGTGTGTGTGTGTGTGTGTGTGTGTGTGTGTTTATGTGTGCCTGTCTGTCTCTGTTATGTGTGTGTACTTGTTTGTTCAATCAGTTCTTCTCTCTCTCTCTCTCTCTCTCTCTCTCAGACCAGTCCTGCAGGTAGATCTGGTCTTTAAACCTGTTGATCAACTGAGGCTGCTCCTCTGAACACACACACACACACACACGCACACAGACAGGACGACTGAATGATGAACAGGGGGAAATAACTGCAGGAAATCTACCAGTATGAACACAAGTTTTACAAGTTACAAGTTTGCTCAGTGGTTAGCACTGTCCCCTCACAGCGAGAAGATTGCTGGTTCGAGTCCCGACTGGGTTCAGTTTCCTCCGGATGCTCTGTTGTCACTCAGTCCAAAGACATGCGCTATAGGGGAGTTAGATTAACTAAATTGTCTGTATGTGTGTAAATGAGTGTGTAAGGATGTTTCCCAGTAATGGGTTGCAGCTGGAAGGGCATCCGCTGCCTAAAACATACGCTAGAATAGTTGGTGGTTCATTCCGCTGTGGCTACCCCTGATAAATAAGGGATTAAACCGAAGGAAACTGAATGAATGTATGTAAAGCATTTAGCCCAGGCATGTGCTTTAGGAACTGTGTTGATCAATAAAACTAAAAATAAAAGGTGTAATATCAACTCATTGACATTCTTTTCGGCTTAGTCCCTTTATTAATCTGGGGTCGCCACAGTGGAATGAACTGCCAACTTATCCAGCATATGTTTTGAACAGCGAATGCCCTTCCAGCTGTAACCCAGTGCTGGAAAACATCCATACACACTCATACACTCTCATACACTACAGTCAATTTTAGCTTACCTAATTCACCTATGGCGCATGTCTTTGGACTTGTAGGGGAAACCCACGCCGACCTTTGATGAACATGCAAACTCCACACAGAAATGCCAACTGAACCAGCTGGGACTCAAACCAGTGACCTTCTTGCTGTGAGGCGACAACCACTTAGCCACCCATATGTTTATTTATAAACATATTTGTTTGTTTATTCCCCAAATTGAAGCTAATACTTCACAATTTGGGTGGCGCAGTAGGTAGTGCTGTCGCCTCACAGCAAGAAGGTCGCTGGTTCTTGTCTCAACTGGGTCAGTTGGCATTTCTGTGTGGAGTTTGTATGTTCTCCCTGCGTTTGCGTTGGTTTCCTCAGGGTGCTCTGGTTTCCCCCACAGTCTAAAGACATGCGGTACAGGTGAATTGGGTAGGCTAAATTTTCCGTAGTGTATGAGTGTGAATGAGTGTGTATGGATGTTTCCCAGAGATGGGTTGCAGCTGGAAGGGCATCTGCTGTGTAAAACATGTTGCCGGTTTATTCCACTGTGGCGACCCCAGATTAACAAAGGGACTAAGCCAAAAAGAAAATGAATCACAATTTGCCTTTAATATATATTTAGTCAGGATTTACAGCGAATACACTTCAAAATGTACATTAAATCTATCTTATTTAAATCATTCGTTGCGTGTGTGTGAGTGATGTGCTGAACTCAAACACGGTGCTGTTCTGTGGCCATCTGAACTGAGGGACAACAAAGTGGCCTTTATGAGCCTGTGAGTCCAGAGCCATCAAAGAAACAGTGATAAACTAGTGGAAGATACTGGCGCACAATGGCAGCCTTGACTTGTGCACAATGAAACCCCTCACTCCAAAATCACATTATTATCAATACAGCCGAGCCCGGATGTGTGCAATTGCGTGTTTGCTCAGAGAGATAGATAGAGAAATTCACCTCAGTCTTCTTCAGCAGCTGTGCCTGCTGTCGAGCTGTCAGGAGTTCATTATTATGACTTGTTTACATGTTGGAAATAAATCACTGCACTGGCTTTGGAATCAAACAGACGACGTCACGCGTGATTTAGCCAATCAGCAGCGCGGAGTATCGCTCTCACCTGTCCTCGTAAACAGGTAACAAACATCGAGACAACATTCCTGCGCGCGACAGGCTTTACACTTTCACAAACATCCTTAGCCTCGTGTGTATTTCGATGCCTTTCAGACTTGTTTTGTGTTATATTATGTTTGTTTATGAGCTGACGTGTAGCGACTGACGGATTTTATAGTCGAGCCAGGCTATAAACACATCGAAATGGACTACTTCATTTATATTATTGCTTTATCTATATAACATTTCATATTTGAAACATTTTGGGGAGCAAATAGGAAAGAAAACAACAAGCGAACAAACGTATAAGGATTTCTGTCAGACAAGCCCAAGCGAAGGGAGCATCATCTCTTCAGCGATCCTTTCGCCATGGATATTTAACTGGCACCTGAGCCTGACGGATTGACTTCACATCTATAATATCCTGATGAAAATTATGAAGATGAAATCAGCTATGCTCCAGATGATCGCGATGTGCCTAGCGCTCCGTTCACCTGCGCGCGCTCAGACGCAGGAAGGGAAACCTGAAGGTAAACCTGCTTCACTGTCACTCACGACGCACCTGTTTGTGCCACTGAGGTAAAAGTTAGTTTTACATTCACACATTCAGACTTTCTCCTTAATATGATATTCTCATAAAAGTAGTATTTGCAAAGCTGTCGCTCGAGTAGGTCGCTCGAGTCCCGGGTGGCTAGTTGGCATTTCTGTGTGGAGTTTGCAAGTTCTCCCTGGGTTTGCGTGGGTTAACTCCGGGTGCTCCGGTGCCCCCCGCAGTCCAAACAATATGAATAAACTATGTGTGTGAATGAGGGTGTATGGGTGTTTCCTAGTACTGGGTTGCAGCTGGAAGGGCATCCGCTGTGTAAAACATGGTGGATAAGTTTGCGGGTCATTCCGCTGTGGCGACTTCTGATGAATAAAGGGAATAAGCCCAAGGAAAATTAATGATAGGAAGATTATATTAGCAGCCAAAAACGAAGTTCAACATTGTTCACAGTAAATTAAATAGTGCTAATGTTTTTTTGGCCGGTTCATTTTACTGTGGCGACCCCCTGATAAATGAGAGACTGAGCCGAAGGAAAATTAATGAATGTTGTCATACTTACATGTGATTTCAGACCGAATATTCAAAGTACCATGGTAAACATAGGGAGCGTGTCACAAGTTACTGAATGAATGTGTGAATATAAAACCAACTTTACCTCAATGTTTATACCTAACAGCAACGGAATAAACATTTTTAAATTAGAATGCTTACGCTATTCTCACAGTTGGTGATGTCATATCCATTGTGGGTTCCAAAAACAACATTGTCGTTTAAAAAAGAACGTTTTATAATATGAAGAATCTTGTGAGGAACATCTTGTAGAACACGTTCCATACATGTTCAAGAATCTGTATTTTAAGAGTGACGCATGACTATCTATATATATACCGCTTTAATAACAGTTTATATTGCATTTATTCCATGCAAAATTGCAAATATGTACGTAATATTAATAATCCAATTAAATATGCATATAAAAAAGTGCATAAGAAGAGTTCAGATGCAGAAGCATTTAAATTTTTCTTCTAAAATGAGCATTTTTCCAAGATTCCTCCCAGCAGGCACAGGACATCAACATGACGTCAGATTGACGTTGCACCCCAACAACATGGGGACTTTGCATTTTGTTTGGAAATGAAAGTCGAGTTGACATCAGAACCCGACATCAGGCCAACTTCACTGTTCAACGGCCTAAATCTAATCTAATATTAACGTCATTGTGTGCCTGCTGGGCTAAGTTTATGTTCAGTTATTTCACTTTAAAGGCAATAAAATGAAACCTATTCATATAGCCAAAGAACCTAATCGAACTAGAGCTGTGCAATATTGGAAAAATCTGACATGTGATATTTTGTATTTCTGCGGCTATACATTGCAAAATAAATTTAATTTCAACAGATGACGTAAATAGGAATATTTGTAAACAATTATTTAACTTTCTATTCATTGGCATGATTTAGTAGATGTAAAAATCGTGCACGGAATGTAATAAACAAATTACAATACAGCTAAATACAGTAGAGCAAACATAAAAGTGAAATAAGCAGTGCTTTTTTTGGTTTTCATGGTAGTCCAATCACATTCAGTTACAGAAATGAGAAAAATCTACTATAAAATAACACTGCAAAGATTTTACTGTTTAAATAGTTCAATAAATGTATTCTCTATGAAAGCTACAAATGGTCAAATTGCTTGTGTCTGAATGCTTTAAAATCTTTTAAGTACTCAAAATGTGCAAATGAAGAGCTTAGATGCAAAAACCTCTAAATGCTTTCTGAAATTTTTCTCTAAAATGAGTATTTTTATCAGGCTTCTGTGTGTATGTTCATTAATATCACTTTATGGCAAAGAATAAGTTTTTTTTCATGGCTTTGAAAGTAAATTATCTAAACATAAACAAAGGAGGCTGAGAAAAATGTTCACTTTGGATGGAAATTTCAGTTTTTGCATTCTGAACTCTTCAAATGATCGACTTTTGCTTCATTATGGTTAAACTCTGCTGTAACTCAACAAATGCATTTTGAACTGTATGACTATATAATCCCAATACAATATTCATAATCCTAAACTATATAATCCCAACTCAACAATGCAGATCTTATAATGTGATTATTGCGTATGCACACAATGCGATATCAATGCTTAAACGATATATTGTGCAGCCCTAAATCAAACCCATAAATCTTAAATAGCTGAACATAAACATAGGAGCCAGAGAAAAATGCTCATTTTAGAAGATAATCTCATATAACTTTTCATATAATTGTAATCTAATTTACATACATTTCAAAACATATGTGTTTTCAGATCAATATGCTTACACATTGCTTTATTTTGCTGCTTTGATCTCAGAACACTGTCAGCAATGTCTACAGAAATTCAACACTGTTGTGTCCAAGTGATGGAGATGTTTTTGTTTATCTTTGATTGTGAGTGTAAAAGCAGAGGTTTGTTTCCTGTACTAAATCACTGCTCGGTTCAAATAACAAGTGACTCAACCTGTAGACTTTGTTAAACCAGTTCCCTGACTCAACGGCTGTTTTCTGCAAGGATACAATCAGAGGAGTTTGAACTTGTGATGCCTTTGTTTTACAGTTCCTTGTGTAAAGAAAGGGTACAAAAGTTGTCACTGAGGCAGTATAACCTTTTAAACTGTACACTTTAGCACCTTTTGTACTACTATAGTGTGCTATTTGTTTTATTCAATCTACAAATTAGTACCTAAATGGTATATATTAATACCATTAGAAAAGGTATAACATTTTAATAATTCATTTTGATAGAGGTTTATTTTGGTTTAAACTCAAAGGGCTCTATTTTAATGATAAAGGCGTAAAGTCTGAAGCGCATGGTGCAAGAGCATGTTCTAATCCACTTTTGCTATTTTAAGGACGGAAAAATACACTCTGCGCTCTGGTTCATGGTCTAACAGGGTTGTGCTTATTCTCTTAATGAGTTATGGCTGTGTTTTCAGTATAAGGTGCATTTGACCAATCAGAGTCTCATCTCCCATTCCTTTTAAGAGTCAGTTGTTTTTGTGGCATGGTGCATTTGCTATTTACATGGAATTACATGGACTTGAGGAAAAACTGAGCACTTTGCTAGTGAGAAAGCAGTTAAACAGATCATCTGCAGCGTGAGGATCAAGAATGAGCCTCCTCCAATCGGCCTTCACATTCTCTTTACTTTACTTTTACTCTTTACTCCTTTACTTTTGTGGATAATGAAATGGTGTTGTACACAGTCCACCAAAGACATCCATTAGCCTACTTATATAATTTAATTTGTGAGGCACAAATATTTGTTTTAAAACTATTTCTAAATTTAGTTCTAATTTCCAGCAAACGAATAAATGAACAATAATAACGAAGTGTGCCCAAAAAACTGAATTATATCAAACACAAGTTCTGTGCTCCATATGGTTCAAAACCCAAGAGGTGGACAAATCTAAACTAGTTTTTATTAAATCAATTATAAATATGCATATAATAAATAATTAGTGGTTACAGTGCCTCATTAGTGGCAGTGGTTTTTATATTTATGTAGAAATTAATAATTTTTGTAACATTTTAATCCTTCATTTTTCTTCATATGTAAAGATATTTGTGTATTGCTGTATATCCTATGTGTATTAAGCAACGTGTATGTGTTTTGGACCTGCATGAGCGCATAATTAACGCATTAGTTAGCGTTAGACTGGCTTTTAGTTGGTCAATGGCGCAGTCTATTTCAGTTCCTCAAATTACAACGCAACAACCATGCGCCTTTACACACCTCTTTTCTAGACCGGAGTCCGCAAAGTCACACAAATGGATTTGCTATTTATACAACGTGACGCAAAAAGTGAAATATTACTGTTGCGCTGGTCTGAAAATAGCAACAAATCTCGCCAAACACGTCTTGTGCCTTAATGTGCCGGCTGTATGATACTGTAGCTCCCAAAGCCCAAAGTGTTTTTTTTCTTTTCAATAAGAGCATATCACTCTTAAGTATAGTGATATGATGATAAATAATTCAGCAATAATTAAAGTAGATAATTCCTGCATTAAAACATAAACAATCAAATTAAGGAACTGTATATGCACAAACAACTACAGCTTATTTAACAATACATACAGCCAAATATTTAATGCCGGAGATCACCAAAAATAAAATATCTATTAATGAATATACATTCAAAAAATAACTTTTGCTGCTTGTTTAAATTAAATACTTAAAATAAGTTGAAACAGCACACTTCATAAGATTTCTTTGAGCCAACTTAATTGGTTTATGTTCAATCCACTTAAAGTTGTACAAATTATTAAGTTAATTTATTCAAATGCGATGTAAATAAAAATACTGGGTTCCACACAATTCCTTCATGTTGTCCCAACACAAACCGATTATATTAACTTAATCGGTTTTACAAATTTAAGTGGATTGAACATAAAACAATTAGCTTTTGTCCCCAAAAAAACGTAAATAATTGTGTTGTTTCAACTTGTTTTAAATACGTAGTTTAATTAAGAAGCAAAAGCCTTGAAATACAGACCAAAACACATCAGGTTTAGCTTGCACACACACACACGCACACACACTCGCACAGATAGAGACTAGAGCGACGTGATTTGATGCACTGCTTGATCTTTGCCCTCAGCAGTAATGTTGACTAAGAAGGGTGGGGCACAATGGCATGAACAACAACAACAGGTGTGTGTAGTTCAGATGATATCACTGCGAACAGGTCAAACTACTGGAGCAAACGTCATCTTGCAGACCATTCGATTTGACTGCAACCCCCTGAATCAGCATCTCCTACAAACTAACAATAGCATTTAAATGACCAGTAAATGTGCAGAATAGATGTGCAGTAAATATCATAAAGGCACATAATTGATCTCAGATTTCTTGTTTTGCATATGACTCGTTCCAGAATTGCCGGTACATTTCAAGCATTTTCAATTTTTTTTTCTTATAGTGGAATTATTACATATAAGAATG